TTAAACACGAAAATTTAAGAGACACGCATTTTTTATACGTGCCTCAACTCACGTATAATAGCCAAAATCTGACACTACTGGGTGAAGCACCCCTTTGAAAAAAAACGGTATTTTTCTTTCGAGGCGAATATCGTCGGAAGTATAAACGAGAGAAAAAAATTTTTTCAACAAAAGTTGTACGGTTTGAAGAGTACTTCAATGTTGTGACGAAAATTCTTTTAATTTTTTTGTTTAATTGTTAACAAAAAAATTAAAAATTTCTTTTCTTTACAACATTTTTTTGAAAAAAATTCTTTTTAATTTATTGTTAATTAATTTAAATTTTAACAATTAATTTTAACCATTAATTTATTGTTAACAATTAATTTATTATTAAAAATTAAACAAAAAAATTAAAACAATTTTTTTCTTCACAACATTGAAGTACTCTTGAAACCGTACAACTTTTGTTTAAAAAATTTCTTTCTATCGTTAATATTTCCGACGATATTTGCCTCGAAAGAAAAATAGCGTTTTTTTTTCAAAGGAGCGTTTCGCCCCTTAAACATGAGTTAGGGCATAAAAAAAGACGTTTCTCTTAGATTTTCGTGATTAATAACATGTTCCATGGAGAATCAAATGGGTTCCGGACACTTGTGAAATTTCCCTTGTTAATCAATTATCTCTTATTAATTCATTTTCTGTATATCTCTTTGCGAAAAAGATATAATTTTTCAACTTATTAAACCGATTTTCAAATCAATTACCAAGAGTGGCAAAAGTGGCTACAGTGCTTAGATCACACACGAGATATTTTTATAAAGATCTTTCAACCTATTCAACCTTTCAACGAAAAGTAATGATTCTGACTTAACAAATGACTACATTAGATATTTATACAAAATAATCTGTCTATTCTAAGTGCTATAGTCATTTTTTGTCACTCCAGCTAATCGTTTTGTTGTAAAAAGTTACATCAGAAACTTTTTCTTTTTATTGAACGTTGGATTTTTTTGCAAAGAAATAGATATAGAAAATGAATTAATAAGAAAATTTACCGTAAATGGTGATTATACAGGGTGTTCCAAAATTCGCACCCGCGAAGTAAAAGACGTGATATTTCATGCTAAAAAGAATCAACTTTTTCCTTTTGCAATATTGCGTCTGACAAATAGTTTTTGCAGGCGAATGGATTAAAGTTAACGAGTACTCTGATTTATATGGCATTTAGGGCACGCGCTGTGTCCTTGTCCACTTGTACCTAATCCTTGGCTAGTATTCTTAAGTAATATTTTAAGATACTAATAAGGCTTTATTATGATTAGTTTACGACTGCTTAAGTCTGTAATTAAGGCAGTCTTAAATAAAGTAAAATATTTGTGTTACGGTATTTTAAGAGCTAATTTTCTTTTTTTATTTTTTACAATAAAGAACCAAACTCTTTATTTTTGCTATAACAAAGAGTCAAATTCTTAATTTTTTACAATAAAAGGCTACATAGATCAGCTGATCTTTTTAAATATAACAAAAGACACAGGTCAAAACTTAGTAACGATTTCAGACTAGTGTCGTTCATAAAAAATATGGTTGTCCCAAAATATAACTATAAAATTATAGTCACTTGAACCATTTTTATGGGAATTTCAACTATTTTATGGTTATAACAACTATAATTATAGTCATTTTAGGTTGCCAATTATATACATTTGTTGCTGGAACTATATATATAGTTACTGTTATTATTATTATAGCAGTAATAATCATAATTATAGTAATATATAATTATAGTTACAAATATCAAACATTTTTCTCTCTGTGTGGTGGGGGAAGAGTGGGGGTGGTTGTCGATAGCTACAGCTATCGAAAACTACCTCCACTTTTCCCCCACCACGCATTACCAATGATAGCGCAAGTCAGAATCTGCCACTGCGTCAGACTATGCAACAAAGCAAGCATAACAGCATGCATGTGTGCATGTATGTTTATCATTTAAGAAATTTAGCATCGTGTGATTCCATCTTAACTTCAAACCTACGTAACTTGTTCATAAAAAATCGTACAGAAACGAAAAAACTCATTTTGAATGTAAAAGATAGCATTTTAAGATACTGTCATAAAATTGGCAAACTGAAACTAAACCGTAAAACGGTTTAAATATGGCAAAATCGTTATTTTTTGCTTGTATTGATGGCTGTGTTCCAAAAGTTACTGCCTATAATGAAAATCTGTAGTGCAGGTGGTAACTATAGATTTTCAGTACTGGCAGTTTTGGAACACAGCCACAATTTAAAATCAGGACAGAAATGTGATGTAATAGAATTTATCGACCTTGGATTCAAATCTGGCAGCCAAAAATCTTCAAAAAATGGTACTCCGCATGCCAGAGATAAGAAAAAAAATCAAATTTTGTCGGACAATGTAATATACAGTTTGAAATTATCATTGTAAAGAGAATTATCACTTTAACCAATAACAAATTAATATTTCATTTATGCATTTATTCATATAAGTAACACTTGCACGACGATTTTATTTGAAGCGTAAGAATTTAGGTAGATATACAGATATTAAAATTAATTTTGGTGGACCATCAAAATAATTATGTAGAAAACTCAAGCGTGATGAGTGCAATGCTGCAAAAAAATTTTGGCATTCGATTTGACCATCCTACATTATTATTTTAATGGTCTACCCATGTACTTGAATTTCAAAGTTTAGAATAATTTAAATTATAAAATATCACCTCTCGCGTATAAATCCCTAGCAGTCTCTCTGCCGATACCACTATTTGCTCCCGTTATCACAACAATTTTGCCCACAAGACGTGCTTTGCTCGTACACATTTTATTGAGAAACCACAACATTTTTTATAGTGTTTATTTAAGGTAAATATACGAAATGACGTCACTGTAAGCAAATACTAATATTGTAAAGGTTATTCCTGAAAAAGTAACATAGTATTATATAAAACTATATATTTTATTTAAAGTTGATACTGTAAATTAATGAAATCACATATAAAAATTGAAAATAAGCAAAGTTACTTAAATATACAAAAGAATTAAACGTGTACTGCAAATGTACTAAATTACGTCCACTAAATTACGTCCACTGTGTGATGTTCCGATTTACGCCACTAATATCCACTGAATAACGCCACTTTATCAGGAGGTCTATCATGGAACAAATCGGAATAGATTCCAACCGGAATTGTTCCATTTTCTCTAGAAAACATAATAGAAATCTAGGAAATAATTGAATAATTCCAAACGGAATCCATTCCAAACAATTCCACATAACACATATCTTGATCTGTTTTAAGCACGTTTAGTAGAATAAAGAAGTTTTGCGCTTTATGGGTGTATTATTTGTGCGACATTTTCTGCGCCTGACTCCTATTGCCCTTATTCTTTCCAATTTCTTTTGATTTATAAGAAGTCTTTGTTAGTTGAAGTTTGATTTGTTGTAACATTTGTTTTTCATAAGATTCGTTAATAATACCTGAACACTCAGCTTCGGCTCGTAACCCGAATTATCAAAAACTAATTACTAAGCAGTAATTTGTTGTTGATCTAACCATCGTTATTATATTAATTTCTTACTAATTTGTATTAAAGTGTTATATCGTATAATTGTGTTACATTTTTTTGTTATTTTTTAAACATATTAATGTGGGTAATACACAACGAAATACTTTGTATTAGCGAAAATACCACATTTATCACTTTATAGATTACCTTGATATAGTAGTTATTTAAGCACAAATTCAATCACGAATAGCTAGAAGTGATACATTCTCGACGTGAGATTGTGCAACTGCTTTTCACGAAAAACCAGATTATATTTTCTTATACTTATTTTAGCGGAACCATTTCACACACTTTCACAATCTCTTTCTAAAAATTTATAAACACTTTCACTACGTTGTATTTGCGTGTATAAAGTAGATTAAAATGGCGGTATTTGGATCAGTGGCGTCATTCCGTATGTTTACCTTATGATGTGTTATCAGTTGATTATTTTTATAGGAAATTACTCACTATCAATTTCACAGAAAGTGCTATATTCACTATCAATTTCATAGAAAGTGCTTCGATATTGTTCCGTGTTGTTTGTTACACGCTCGTATATTCTTATATGCTACTTGAAGTCTATGAAGTGTTTCTTATATACTAGCTGATATAGCACATTCTATCCCACTCCCAGCTCGATTGTACACATACAATCTTAAAACCTTGCCAGCGAACGGAGTAAAAAGTAATAAGTATTACATGTGTAGTGAGCAGTTGCATCTTTCGCTGTGCCAATTGCACCTTAGCACTGAAAATCTTAGTCGCAAAAAATGCTGTCGAAAAATTTTGATCTTCACCGCGCAAATAATGATCCCAAAATCCCAAAATTAAATAAATGTGTAATCTTTAATTTCCACCGCAACTAAAAAAAACGGTAATTGATTCGATTTCAAACATCATTAGAAATAGATATCAGTCTCGAGTACTTTGAAGCTGTTTTGTGAATATAAAATCAAATTTTTCTCGCTACAGTGATTATTACTCGCTTTCTTCAAGCATTACCGATTATATGAACCATAATATGGTTATACCTCCAAAATGACTATATAATTGTAGTTATTTGAATAATTTTTTATAGTAATTTCAATCGTTCCCATGGTTATAATAACTATAATTATAGTCATTTTCAATGGCCAATTATACATATTGGTTGATAGAACCATACATATAGTTATTATTACTAATACTATAGTAGTCATAAACATAATTATACTAAAACAAAAGTGAAAAGAATGGGCTATGAGCCAGTTATAACAAAGAATCTTTAATAAAACTTCTTACATACATGTACATGCAAACGTTTCGACCCCGATCGGGTCATTTTCAATGCAAAATAAACAAAATATAAAGTTGTCAGAAGATTTAAAATTATAACATTATTATATAATTATACTAATACGTAATTATAGTTACAAATACCAAACACTAATTTTGTGATTTTTCTCTCAGGGTACCTTGATATAAAATGCGACATGTTCGAGCGAGCTGCAATACCATCTTTTAAAAATCTTTATACGCGAACTTTTCAAATAATTTGATATTTATACAGTTCTCACAATGATTCTCTTAAAAAAAAAAACCTTTTTAATGCACTTGTCGCGAAGCGGTTTCTAAAATTGTAACAAAATCTTCGTTTGGATTCAGATGTAAGAGACGACAGGATATATCCCATAATTTTTCGGGGTATTGATGCTTGTTTGCCATTCGATATGGAGTAGCAATACCGCAATTCCTAAAGATAATCAAAGAGATAAAAAGAAATATAATGCGAATTGAATTTATTATATTTACAATAATAAGATTGAAAGACCGCTTATGTTAACTGCAATACTTTAAACTAAGAAGTGCCACTAACGGTCTGAACGTTGAGATGTTGAACTATTCTAAATTCATTTAAATGAATTAATTTCAAAAATTATAATTGCGTGCCGATATGGTTGTCGGACTTTCAACGCAATCAAATCTGAAATATTAATAATCCTCCCAAATTTCCTAACTTAAAAACTGTAATAAAAATTTGGAAAATTTGAGGGGATTATTAATATTTCAGATTTGATTGCGTTGAAAGTCCGACAACCATATCGGCACGCAATTATAATTTCTGAAATTAATTCATTTAAATGAATTTAGAATAGTTCAACATCTTAACGTTCAGACCGTTAGTGGCGCTTCTTAGTTAAAAATTATTATATTTACTTTATAAAAATAATTTTTTGTATAATATATAACATATTCTTACGAATAATAAAGTCCGGTCTCATTGGCTATCTCTTCATCTACGGAACAATATATTGTTGTTTGCGCTCCTTCTTCAGCGTTTTTATAAAAAAATCGCATAAACATATTACAACAGAAAGTAAAACCTGGAAATAGTACCCTATCACCATATCGGAATAGTCCAGTCGGAATCATACCAGGATGTAAAGAATATACATTTATTCCATGAATATCTGCCTCTAAAAATCGAAATCTTTGTGTAAGGATTTATCTTGGACGTATATTTTTCTTTTAATATGTAACAAATCATTAATGATCAATTAATGATTGTCAAATATTATGTAAATGTGATTTAACATAATTTGTAAGAATACAGTGTTTCTACCATACCTTTTAATTTACGAGCGAGTTCCTTAGTGAACAAAATGTTCGCCAATTTCGATTGTGCATAACTTTTAATCGGTCCGTAAGATCTTTCCAAATTAATATCATCGAAATCTATATTAGCAACTGTAATAGAAGATTTGTGTGTAACAGAAATGAAATGACTCTTCTGATCTTGACGTACAATTTAAAAATTGATAATGTTTCTTAAAAGATATCTATACAACATGTTTAATGAAAACGATATCTATACAAAATGTTTAATAAAAAATTATATAAGATATATAGCCACAAGTTACTTGTATGAATTATATTTGATATAGTCTTAATGTTTAAGAATTCTTTACGATACTATCTATAAACTCGCTCTTTTATTCAAAGCTTTAATAACGACTGTTGCCAAAGAAATTTCTTAGTTTTAAA